TCTCTCTCTCTCTCTCTATTCGCGTGTTTCTCTCTTCGCGCGCCCATAGAGAACGTACTTTTCGCCGTGGAATAATAAGTAATCGGCGTTTTGTTTTATCTCTCTTTCTCTCTCTCTCTCTCTCTTTTCTCGCGATCGCTAATTTAAATATATAATATATTATTGTAACATCTTTCTCTCTCCATACACCCAGTGATCCAATCAAAATGTATAAACGTACGCATATATACGTGGAATTTATGAGAATTGATTTCCTCCCCGCTCTGTCTCTCGCTTTCTAGAGTGATTTCCCCCTTAAAAACTCTCATTTGTCCATCTCTCCCCACCCCCCCTCTTTTTTATCACTCTCTCTCCCTTTTCCATCCTTCGCGAGATTCAGAACGGATTCTCAGACTTATCATAGCAAAGTTAATGAGAGATTATCTGACACGATCTACATATACGATCACTCAATACGCACACGTGCATGCCAGCCGCCCTGCCATTTTTCGCGCTCGCGGCTGCGCGACGTCTTTCGGAACGTAGATGCTAAAGAGAATACCTATAAATATATTTTATATTATGTGTGTATATATATATAATATAATAATAATATAATTTATATATATATATGTATATATATATATATGAGTGTGTGTATGTGTATTCCACATTCACCATACCACCTTCTTTTTTCTTACCGCATCTTTTTTTTTTTCTTTATACTTAACATAGAAAAAATATAGAATTTATTTTACCTCGAACTTAAATATAAAATAAACTTCTTTTTTTCTCTTTGCTTCTCGATTATTATAATATATAAATATACGTTTCTGTTATGCATCAACGTGTTATTGGTGCACGTGTATCTTTCATGTGTTACGCGTGGATGTGTATACGTATTAGGGTGTTGTATGTACCATTTCTCGTCAGTGTCCGTGAAGTGTTTGCTTGTGACGTTATACAAGTAACAAATAATAATATACACGTATATCGTATTCGCGCGTGTATCTTTCGCGCATCCCCCCCGGAGCTCCGTGCGTGCGCGAGAATTTATTTTTAGCGTGCGCTTAACGCGTGCGGAGCGAGTGCGTGAGTGGAGTGTGCGAGTCTTCGTTCGTGTTATCACGCGTGCGCGAGTGCGCGAGTGCGCGTGTATAAAGGAGAGTCCAGAACGAAGATCGGCGCGGTGTAATACGGGAAATGTAAAAGGAACTGGAGTGGAAATACACGAAACGCAAGCGGTCGCACACGGACGAACGGAGGCATCTCGGCGCGGCGAAAAAAGTTAAAGAATAAAAATAATAATAATAATAATAAACAAGAAGGTCGAGTCTTTTTGTGGTTGGAAAAATCGAAAAAATATTCTCTTCCATCTCCCAACGTCCATCACGAGATGGGCGATTTAGATATATATAATATATATATATATAT